TCACACTCAACACAGTGTTAGCTATTTCTGTTCCACAGACTGATAGCTCCCACTGAAGATCATTGATTTTACGGGAAGCCCTGTTTACAGGCTGAGTGCCATCGACCTGAGGTGACTTTTTGCCTCCTGCAGACGGAGCATCCTCATGTCTGCATTAGCAGAACAACAGAGTGAATATATTCAGAACACAGTAATAAACAATGTGTATGGATAATTTTAACAAGCACAGTGGTGGGAATGACGTACACGCACCTATACCATAAATATATTATATAATTTTGACAGTTTCTTCATTTTAATTTTTAAACTCAACTCTGATTGTGACCTTGTGACAAATAACTTTTTTGTCTCCCCCTGCAGATGAATTTATTTTTCTGTAAAATATTAATTTTGTGTTTTATGTAGAATAAAATGCTGTTATGCTTTATTTTTCGAGTCCATCACTCGAGACACGACTTAGTCCATTTGGGACTACATTTGTGCACTCAACAGTGAATATGTGCCACAGTATCAAGTCTTGATATCCAGAATAGGCTAGAAAAATAACTTAAAGATGAAAAGGACAAATAAAAACACTTGTTAGGAACAGTTTTTTATTTTATTTTGTGAGCTCTTCATTGTATTTACTGAGCCTCCTTAGGCACTAAAGTGTGCTTATGTTAAAGAGTGCAATGCATGCATGTCTTTATTGGTGATTAGTTGGAACAAACCTCACAGATAAACCCGGACTTCACTCTGCCTGAGGACTACAATGGTTCCCCCGTCAATGAGCATGTCCCTAGTGCAACATCAAAAGCCTTCCCCTGCTTTATCAATAAGAACCCTTCCTTCCCACATCTTCCTGTAACTTGCTTAGCGCGCACACCATTGATTTTCCAATAAGCGCCCCTTACCCTGCGGTGGCTGGCCAAGCTTTGGGATGGCTCAGAGACCAGACACAGACATGCTACATCAGTGAGGAACAATTGTGTTAGAGGTTCTTAAGGTTCTTTTTACATTTTACTGTTTTTAGATCAACTTCCTGCTTACATGTACATGAACTGGAGTAAGAATTGGGGCCACATCCTTCTTATAGTTTCTGTGATTTGAGTCCGATTTCATTCCCTTCTGACATTCTGAAGTGCAAAGTCATCTGAAGGCAAGCACGCCTACAATCAGATGTTTCTTTTCTCATTTATGTCCCCACTTGGTTAACTGCTAAATCAAATCTATCCATCCATCCATTTTCTTCCGCTTATTCCGAAGTCGGGTCGCGGGGGGCAGCAGCTTGAACAGGGAGGCCCAGACATCTCTTTCCACAGCCACCTCTTCCAGCTCTTCTGGGAGGATTCCAAGGCTTTCCCAGGCCACCTGAGAGACATGTCTCCAGCATGTCCTGGGTCTTCCCCGGGGTCTCCTCCCAGTTGGACATGCCTGAAGCACCTCTCTAAGGAGGCGCCCAGGGAGCATTCTTACCAGATGCCCGAACCACCTCAACTGGCTCTCTCGACGTGGAGGAGTAGCGTTTCTACTCCGAGTCTGTCCCGAATAACTGAACTTCTCACCCTATCTCTAAGGGAGAGTCCAGCTACCCTGCGGAGAAAACTCCTTTCAATTGCCTGTATCTGTGATCTCATTCTTTCGGTCACTACCCAGAGCTCATGACCAGAGGTGAGGTTAGGAACATAGACTGACCGGTAAACAGAGAGCTTTGCCTTATAGCTCAGCTCTCTCTTCACCACAACAGACCAGCACAGAGTCTGCAATACTGCAGATGCTGCTCCAATCTCTGTCAATCTCACGCTCCATTCTTCCCTCACTCGTGAACAAAACCCAGAGATACTTGAACTCCTCCACTTGAGGCAGAACCTCACCCTCGACCTGAAGAGAGCAATCCACCCTTTTCCGGTTGAGGACCATGGCCTCAGATAAATGTGATGTGATAAACACGTAAATTAAAACATAAATTATTTTTATCATTTTGCATTTCGACATGCATGCTCTCTTCGTAATGTTGTCCATTATAACCAAGGTCTTTACAAAAGGTTTAACCTCATCTGTAGAGGGAGGTTGTGGAGTATGGCATCACTTTTTTCAAAAGGAGAGAGAGGAAAAAAGAGCAAAACAACCCTGGCAGAGCGTTTGAAGTCATCTGGCAGCAGAGTGTGAATTCTACCATCAGGATCTTTGCATCGGCATGCGCCGCCTTAGATCAGCTGAAGAATCCGTTCTTTTCTTCGTCGTTATCTCATATTGTCAGCTGAGGCTTGTTTTGGCTGCACACAGCCTGCCTATTGTCAACTCAGAGGGCCCACATTCAGAAACACAACTCAACACAACACCAGGGGTCAGGGCTTAATCACTTGTTCCACTGTCAGCATATCATAAACCAGTTTATTTATACATGCTGGGTAACACATCTGTACATAATAATGTTCAGTAATAGTCACCTTTAACAGATTGTGCCTTCATTTTGATTTGTGGTTATTAACACTGTTAGCACTCAGAGAAACCGGCCTCCTCCACTTCCCCTCTGTTTCGACTGCGCCTCTTTGTCTGTCTCCTGTACTTGTTTAGTGCCTCCCTGAGATTAAAGCTTTTCCTGCTTTAAACAGGTGTCACCGAGCCAGGCAGACATCCAAGAGACAAACAGTTTTATATCAGTTGGCCCATCTGCGACTTTCCGACTCCAGACAATCCCATTGCTCATCAGTAACCACTGCAGGTTATTGAATTACAACATCTTGATTTTAAAGGACAATCCTGCTTTCTGTGAGCTGTGGACACTCCAAGCTAACTCTGATCAAGAGTCACTGTGTTGTTCTGTCTACCCCAAATTTCTTCTAGTATCTTAGACCTGTAATAGGAATTGATGGAGGCATACTCTTAGCACAGGGACCCACTCTGTACTCAGATTGTTCACACTCATCAAGACCGATTGGGGTGGGGGGGGTTCATTGCTGACTAGAACATGAAATTGCTCGCTGTGCACATGAGCTGTTATCAGTTACAGTCAAAAGCCTTATTGCAGTTTGTTGGAAACAAGCTGTTAGATGAGAGGAAGGGTGAAATACTCCACACTCACATGGAGATGTTTTCCACCGAGACAGTCCTTTAAGTCAATTCTCATTGTGTGCATTTCTTCCATTTAATTTTCCAATTTTGTTTCCTTGCTAGTTAATTTAAAGAATCTCTGTATTTGATGTGGCTTTTTTTTATTTTCTTTCTTCAGTCTTTCAGCCCTCTGTCCATTTGTGTGAAATGGCTATTGAGCTCATAGCCTCTTACTAATGGAGCAGATGATACATAGACTGGCAGAACTGGCAACTCCTCACCCAATATGGCAGCCATGTTTTAAATCATGTCTGGAAGTATAAAGCTATTGTATTAATAAGCAAAAGTGTAATATGTCTTCAATATCGCATCATGACATATGAAGAGTATGTCAAGGGATTTTCAGGTTAGTTAGCGTTAAACAAAACAATCACATCAATTATTTTACTATAAATATATGTGTGATTTTATAACAAAAGGACAACCTTGTCTTTTTAGTTTATCCTTTTCTCTACACATTATTTTGTTAGAAAACTGTTGATCTGCAATAACTGCTATTGTTTTACCATGCTTACATTTTGCCTTGTTTATTTGATCTGCGTTTAAACACTACTGTTAGCTTTTGTACGGCTAAAATTGATCAGCACATGTTTATAAAGGTTGTGCATTATATTTGTAGAGGCAGAGGTTGTAGGTTGAGGAGGTCTCGGATATTTTGTGCTGGAGGTATGTTTCATTAGACATTCATGAAGAGGCAGACAGACATTATCAATCTCTGCTCTCCCTCCGTGTAAGGCTGTGGGTGTAGCCTCCATTCTGATCACAGCTAAAATTTGCATCTCTAAGAAAATAAGTAAATAAATCAAGTGCAAGCAGTAAATGTGCTAATCAACTGGGACATGGCAGTGAGCTGGTGCCGGGAAACTTTACTCATGTAATATTCAGCACTGGTGGGTTAAAGGGCAGCCCAGAGTTATTGGCTTCAGCCCGATTGCCCCCTTTAATCAATGTTGGCTGCATCCCTTTAATAAAATTATTAGCTCAGCAGTATCTTGCGCTATCATTTTATCTCTTCTGCACTCTAAATTGCAGCCTGTGTTGGGCCTCAGATGCTCGGGGCATGGTCAGCTCCAGAAAGCTCAGCTCCCATTTATTATTTCGGAGACAGATGATGACTAGAGTGTTTGAAAGTAGGCTAAGCGTAGAGGTTATTGGATGCAAAGATCTAAACACAGCTGCAATGAAGTCCCAGCTTATATAGTTTTTAGCTCCTAGAAAAGTGTGTTTTTTATTGATCATCTTGAAGTTCTTAGATAACTATATCAATATTGCAAACATGATATATTTTTCTTACATGAGTTCTATTTAAGTTGGAGTAAAAACAATAAAACTGTTTGATAGTTTTTAACAGTATATTTTCACTTTTTCGTCTAGTTATGTAAATGTGTGATGTGCTGACGGGTGGCTTCTTAATATCTAATTATCTCACAGGGAATGCATTTGATCTATTTAGTTAGTCAGACTAAAAGTTAATTAAAAATGAATGTAGGATTTGCAGAATATAAGATTAAGAGTGTTGTTTGGAAGGTGAAGATGAAAGATGATATTTTCGTGATATGACATGAAGATGAATCGTGGCTGGCTTATTAGTGCTTGTCTCAGGTATTGTGCTTAAGTGCCTAATCTAGCGTAATGAGCATGGCGTCTTTCTTCCACTTATGTCTCAAAGTTTTGTCTGTCATCCAGTGCGTCATATATTTGTTTTTCAGTTTTAGGTCTTTCAAGCACAAGCCTTTTTTTTAAACGTACCCCGGTATGTTTAAAAAAAAAAAATCACATTAGATACAATAATATTTTGAAGCTATAAGCATTTGGCACTAGCTTTGGCATGGTTAATGATAAGTGCTGTGTGTGCTGGTGTACATATCCACAATACAGAAAGTAACCTCTTATATTTATCTTTGCAGGCCTGGATGCGATGAATGCCTCATGTAGGCATCAGCATGGACAGCTGTGAGTCTCCCGTGGTTTCTGGGACAGAGGATGGGCTCAGCTCCTCCCAGCAGCAGCAAGCACCACAGTCCTGGAACGATCACTCAAGCTCACAGGTTACTTGCACCAATCAGGCTCCTTCTCTGGATGCTTTGTCTCTCTCTGCTTCATACCTGTCTCAACCCCAAAACTCCATTGCACCTCATGACGGGGTGAGAGAACTACAGTCCCACCAGGAGCAGTCAAAACTGACATTACCCCAGGCCCACAGAGATAGCTCCCTTTTAGGGGAGCTACATCCCAGAAGAGAGGGTCTTGGGGAAGTGGAGCAAGAGGGAGTGAGCTGCGGAGAAGAGGACGGATCTGAGGACTTGGATGAAATGGAGATTGACAGCTGTTTTCCAAGTCTCCAACCATTTCCTGGGGTGCCAATAGCATCAGGTGGAGGGGGTATGCCAACTCTTTTGCGACATCAACCCACACAACAGCAGGGATCACCTGAGAGTGGGAGTGAGGAAGGAGAGGAGGAAGAGGAAGAGGAGAGTAGCGATGTAGAAAACCTGGCTGGAGAGATAGTCTATCAACCAGATGGCTCAGCATATATTGTGGAGAGCCTTAGTCAGTTGATCCAAAGTAGTGGAGGTATGGTACCCGGCCTGCTTCCGACAAATTCTCTCACCAGTGGGAGTAAACTGGGAGAACCTGCTGGGACGTCATCTTCAGTCTATCCACAGATCATCAACACTTTCCACATAGCCTCGTCCTTTGGGAAGTGGTTTGGTAATTCAGACCAAGATTTTCCCAATACCTCAACAATGGCAGGTCTCAGCCCTGTCCTGCACAGTTTTCGTGTCTTCGATGTGCGGCACAAAAGCAACAAGGATTACCTAAACAGCGATGGGTCTGCCAAGAAGTCCTGTGTATCCAAAGATGTTCCCAACAATGTGGATTTTTCCAAATTTGATGGGTTAGCTCTTTATGGCAAGGGTAAACCCATTCTAATGTGTTTTCTCTGCAAGCTGTCCTTTGGCTATGCTCGTTCTTTTGCCACTCATGCCGTCCATGATCACCGTATGACACTGTGTGAGGACGAACGACAGCTATTAGGAGACAAGCATGCCTCTGCTATCATTCAGGGCATTGGAAAGGACAAAGAACCCCTTATTAGTTTCCTGGAACCAAAAAATAAGAGCAGTTCATTGCCACCAACTCTGCTCCCCATGAACTCTGGGCAGAGCTTCTATGGCACATTTAGTGGTGTCCATCTGGAGCCTGGAAGCAGTAGTGGAGGCAGTGAGACTCTCATGAACAAAGACACAAACTCTGGCCTCCAGCAAAAGCAGCAGCAACAGCAAACTCCACTTGGCTCAGTCCTCTCTTTAGGTGGGCTGAACATTTCCAAAGCATCCACTCTCACCTCATCCTCAGGCTCTGCCAAAGACTCCAGTGCCCTGTCCAAACAAGGAGGGAGAACAGAGGAGCCTGCAGGGAAAAAGTTTTCATGCAAGGGAGAAGATGGGAACACTGAGGGACATGAACACCATGTTCAAATATCCAACCAATTGGGGGGTTCAGAAGAAGAGGAGGAACTGTTATTAGGAGAAGAAGATGAAGTTGAGGCAGAAAGCGCCACAGTGGCCTGTGGTGGTACAAGTAGCAGAGATGGGTGTGAGGTGGGGGAACCAGCTTTCTCAAACCAAAGCAATTCCAAATCTCCTTTATTAATGCCTAGTAGCACTATCCAGCCTTCTGCCTGCACCTCTGCAGTCAGTTCCACACATAACAGCAAAGCCCTTGCTTCCATTTCCTCCTCTGTCAAGGAAGAGGGTTTAGCTGCAGATGGTGGAGGGAGGACCTCAGAACTCCCCCTGAGCTTTAACTGTCAGGGACCAACTGTTCCCATGGCAATTGTGGCTGCTGCCGTCAGGAGTGAGGATGACAATGCTGGCACTTCCTGTTCACCTCTGTCCTCCAATGCTGCTGCTGATGAAAGTGCCAATCGTGATAGTGCCACAGCTCCAGAACCAAATGATTCCCCAGCAGAAGGAGAGGAGGAAAATGGAGCCCTTCTGCATCATCACCACCTGCACCATCATCATCATCATCATCACCTCCACCCTTCATCTCATGGTCACTCCCTCCCCCTCCAAGGGGGCTCCTGTGACATAACGGGAATGGGTGAGTGTTCACAAAACCATGGTACTGGTGGGAATGGAGGAAGTGGGGTAGAGTGCCCTAAATGTGATACAGTCTTGGGCTCCTCACGTTCCTTGGGTGGTCATATGACCATGATGCATTCACGTAACTCATGCAAGACATTAAAGTGTCCCAAATGCAATTGGCATTATAAGTACCAGCAGACATTAGAGGCTCATATGAAAGAGAAACATCCAGACTCTGGAGGGTCCTGTGCTTACTGCAGTAGTGGCCAGAGTCATCCTCGTCTGGCTCGTGGAGAAAGCTATACATGCGGATACAAGCCCTTTCGATGTGAGGTATGTAGTCAATAAATGTGGCAATGCTCAATTTTTAAGTGTTGTATAGATGTTTTGTTTGCATTCATTTCTATGTATATAATATATTAATTAGTATTTAAAAACATGGTTCTGTAACTGTTGCAATTAAATAATTTTTTTGTTGCTGTTTTTTAGGTGTGTAATTACTCCACTACGACAAAGGGCAACCTAAGTATCCACATGCAGTCGGATAAGCACCTAAACAACATGCAGACACTGCAAAACGGAGGTTCCATTGGTTCTTCGCAGGAGCAGGTCTTTGGACATACACCAGGTGGAGTAGTGGCTGTGCCCTCAGTGACCCAGGCCAGTAGCCATCACACTCCACACCACCATCCAACACAGGCCTCCCCCCATATGTCTGTTTCATGTGGAGCACCCTCACCAACCAAGCCAAAGAGCAAGCCTACTTGGAGGTGTGAGGTTTGTGACTATGAGACAAATGTGGCACGGAATCTACGCATACACATGACCAGCGAGAAGCACATGCACAATATGATGCTCCTCCAGCAAAATGTGACTCAGATGCAGCATGGACGACTTGGATTGGGAGCCATGCCCTCGCCATCTGAAGCTGAGCTCTACCAATATTATTTGACTCAAAACTTGAGCCTTCCACCAGGCCTCAAGATAGACCCATCAGGACCCGAGGCCCAGTTCTTAATGGGAAGCTTTCACCTAGATCCCAGCATGGCTGCCCTGGCCCCTGCACTTGGTAAGCAACCCTGTTGATTTTGAAATGTCCCTAAATTTATTTATACATACATACTGTATCACATACATATATATATCGTATTTTCCACCATAAAAGTCGCTCTGGCATATAAGTTGCACCAGTCCAAAAATGTTGCGTAAAATGGAAAAAAAAAAAAAAACATAAATAAGTCGCTTCGGCGTATAAGTCGGATTTATTTTGCATCACCGCTAACCCCTGGGAAATGTGGGCTGATGTGCCAAACATCAATTGGCTGCTAAATGGCGGCTGCGTGAGTGCGCATGGGAGAAGTTTAACAAGAATTTAACAAGATTAACATTTATAAACAATTATTTGTTTGCTCGACATTATAGCAAAGTTGTGTCTCCGTTTAACTTTTCCCTAATAAATGCGCTTAAATGGTCAAAACTGGTTCATTTCGCTTGGGCGGTGCGGCAAAATGTAAAAGCGCACACACATATATATATATATATATATATATATATATATACAAATACAAATTCATAACCTAGCGTTCTCCTCTTTTTGCCTCTATAAGTGCTGAATCTCAACAGTTCTTTATTCATCCACACTTAGCTATTGCAACTATAAATTTTATTTTTGATCAAATAATACAGGTGTGACACCATAGTAATCAAATACAGATTTTTTTGAAAACTAGTTATAACGTCACACTCTGTACAGACTTGTCTTCTGTCTCCTGTTCGAAGACATAAATTCAAATTTATTGGTGTGAGTAACTCTTTTACCCTCTTGTGCAATTTTTTTTTGTGAGGTGAGTTTCAATAAGTTTACTATAAGGAAGACAATGATTACACATACTGGGCTAATAAAATACAGTGCTATTGTCCATGGTAACACTTTAAAGAATGCTTAAAACTGTCATAAACCAACATTAGTCAAACACTTTGACATTGTTTGTACAGTATGGTTGTTAAGGTCCTGTAAATCTGCTCAGAGTCTCTAATTTCTAGGAAATAAACCGCTAAAGTGGCGATTTCATTTTTGTTAACTCTTATGTTTTGTCATCTCTGTGGATTGCCAAAGACTTAAAACACGTATTAAACACAGTAATCCTCAGTCCCAGGACTCAGCTGCTGCACTGAAAGGTCGAAATGAGATGATGACCAAGAGAATTAGGAGAAGGGATTGGGAGGGTGTGGGTATTTTAGTTACTTGTGCTGTAGTTTTATTTTATGTTTTATCTTGCTTATGTGTTGCAGTACAACAGCATGTCAACGCAGTTGTTCATTAAAAATAAAGCCTTTGGGAATAAAGTTTATTCCCATAGTAATTATAAAACATATTTTGTGGATGTACTAGATATCTATTAATATATAAATATGGATAGTTTGACATGCAGTATATTAGTTTTCTGTGTTGTGATTTCAGTATTGAAAAACTTGTGTGAATACAGGTGCAGTGCTTCGATTCACAGCATTGGCCTAATGATCTACAACCAAATTTATTGGGAAGCAGAATCCTTATGGTAAATCAATGAATCTGTATAGTTATGGAGCATGAATCCATGGAGGAATGGGAGGGGTGAGATGAAGAATAGTGCAGAAGAACAGTGCAGATCTAGGATAGTGTGTGAGCATGTAGGTGTACTGCTGTGTTTGTGTGCGTGAGCGTAGGGAGCCCTGACTGCATATCTGGTTCTGTGAGTGATTTCATAGGACTTCTCAAAGGGCTCACTCTTTAGCTATAAAAGCCCAGGTAATGGAGAAAAGTCCAAGACCAGCCTGCCTACTGCAGCAATAAATAAAAAAGAACTGCTGGAATTAATGTAGTGCAAAGCCAGGCCAGGTCAAGCCTGCATGCTCAGTCTGGACAGTGAAAGATTAAAGAACAACGAGTAAAGGCAAAAGTGCCAACTCTTACCTCATTTTTTTTAACATTTGTCTTTAAAGGTAGTCTTCACAGACTGAATAGACATCAGATATATGGTGAGTTTCATAGCATATGTGCATTCCCATCTCTCTTCCCGCCACACACACACATGCACACACACACACATTGAACAAAGAAGATTTAGTGTTTTCCTTTACAGTAGTCCTACAGTATGTGCCTAGTTTTAGGGCCATGGTAACATTCTGCCAAATACTTTTATCTATTCCTTTCCTCCTCTTGTTTCGCTCGTAGGTGGAGAAATCCCTATGGATGTGCGCCTTGGCAGTGGGCAGTTGGTGTCCGAGGAGCTGATGACCCTAGGAGAAAGTCTATCACAAACCACAGATCCGTCCCTGAAGCTCTTTCAGTGTGCAGTGTGCAACCGCTTTACCACTGACAACCTGGATGTGCTCGGCATGCATATGGGAGCTGAACGCAGCTTGCCGGAGGAGGAGTGGCGTGCGGTGGTGGGGGACTCTCACCAGTGCAAGTTGTGCCACTACACCACTCAGCTTAAGGCCAACTTCCAGCTGCACTGCAAAACGGACAAGCATGTGCAGAAGTACCAGCTTGTGGCCCACATTAAAGAAGGGGGCAAAGGCAATGAATGGCGTCTGAAATGTGTGGCTATTGGCAATCCAGTGCACCTGAAGTGCAATGCCTGTGACTATTACACCAACAGTCTGGAGAAGCTGAGACTGCACACTGTCAATTCCCGCCACGAGGCAAGCCTCAAACTGTATAAGGTAAGTGGTTTACCAGTTCTCGTATCACACACACCACTTAGCCTTATATTGGCAGGGCATCACAATTTACTCTGCATTTAGAAGTATAAAAAGGAAAACCAGAATGCACAATAAAACCATGCCAATTGTAGATGTTTATTTTTATTTATATGTATATTTTTATTAATCATAATGCCAAAATTACTCATTTGCTTTTGGCCTAATACTAGCATGAATCTGTCATTCAGGCTGATTTATTGTCATTAATTTAAACATCTTATAATTTGAACTCCCCTGCCAACATAATATTTTCACACAACACTCAATGAATGATTCAGTGCTCATTGTACAACTGGTTATTTTTAAAGGCTTATAGTGATAGTTTTGCTGTGTGGAGTTCATATACAAGCAGGGCTCGCTGCTGCCATGAGAAGAACATGGCAGTACAAGCTGGTTTGGAGGCTTCAGACTAAATCACTAGGAGACGAATGAAGAAGTGTTAGGAGACAGAGGTTTGGTGCTAATACTCCTCTGAGCGGGAAGGGCTGAATTGTTCTCGACAGCCGTATTGATTTTCGCTGGACTTGGAGCTTCACCTTCTCCTCTAATCATTCCATAATAGCCAGTGGATGAACACTCTCCGAACAAATGGCCATAAATCTAACAGGCCTGATTCCACTTAGGTGCCTATCCTGTATGTCTGCGGCTTTGGCTAGTCTGCGCTTAACCTAGACTGGCATAGCTGCACACACACAAACACCAAGCAAGACATGAACCCTTGCACTACAGATGTGATGTAAGCTAACGGAACACACACACACAAAATATTGCCTTTAGAAAATCTTGATTTGTTATGAGTTCTCTTTACTACTCGTGTACGGTATATCCCCCAAAAAGTAAATAGGAAAGCTATCGCTTAGGATTTGTGGTGTTGGTGTAATTTACAAAAGAAGAGTTAAAAGATGTGGAAACGTGCTGCTTCAAGCACAGTGTTCCTGTTCCAGGGAGCACTAAGATGATATGGTCATTTAAAACCTTCCTCAAAAATCCCATTTATTTGAAAAGTATTCAGTATTATGAATGAGCTCGCATAGCCACTGGCATGACAAGCATGTTTCCTGCCCACAGAGCTTTTGTACAAAAACAACAGTATAATAGAGAAATCAATTGACTGTGGTTTGCTGTATGATGGAGAGCTTCTGTTGCAGAAGGTAAAAGTAACCTCGGGAGTGGAGAGGTGTTTTTGACTTGTCAGTGTATTGTCTGCACCAAGACACTCGTAATTCGTAGCTGTGTAAAAATAACAATATGCAATGTTCTGTGTTGATTTATTTTGCCATTGTGTGTTTCACTCTCTTTGGTCTTCCTGTCTTAGCTTTGGCTTTTAAAAGAACAACCATGACGTTCACTCATAAGACCAACTAAACGGGCTCAGGCATTTTGTGTTTCTCTTTGCTACTTTTGAAGCGAGAAACTTTTGTCTTGTGGGTTAGGATTCCTTGAATATATTGTTGTTTTTTTTCTATATGAAATACTCGTAAATAGTAAATGGACTGTATTTATATAGCACTTTTCTATCTTATCAAGACACTCAAAGCTCTGTACAACACAATGTGTGCCCTCATTTACCTCCACACACACATTCATACAGCACTTTACTATATCTGAACAAAGACTAATCAGTGCTTTAGATCACATTTATACACCGATGGGACACACATCGGAGGCAATGAGGAGTTCAGTGTCTTGCCCAGGGACACTTCAACATGTGACTGCTGGTGGAATCAAACCCCCAACTTTCTTAATGGAAGACGACTGCTCTAACCACTCAGCCACAGTCGCCCCTCAAACCTCCCCTTAGTGGAAGCTTAAATGCAAAAATAAAAAAGTATGTTACGTTATGCAATTTAAAAAAAAAACTATTTATTCTTTATTTTATTTTATTTGCGAGTGAGAGAGAAGACACATGTCGCACTGGCGTTCGGGTTGTTAGGGATTAAATATGTACAACACATCCAGGCATGCTAATTTTTATGACTTAAGCCTCTTAAAATGGTTCCCTATTTTTAACACCAATTGATTTTCCAACTAAGAGTGTGTGCATTTGTCCAGAATTTACCTGCTCTCTAAACCAGAAAACACTGCAGTGCCTTTTAAGCTCTTCCTCAAAATCAACGATGCTCAGATGTTGACAAGAGTCTCATTAAAGTAGTTTATGACTTACCAATGTGACAAGTACATGGTGGTGAGGCTTCTCAGCTGCACTCGCATCTCTCTTGGTAATGCCACAGTTTTCTTACTTCTACAGATTTACAGTCCTGGTAGAGATACTGACAGGCAAAATCCACATTGCCGACCTTTTGCTGTAAATTACTTGGTACAACATGCATGGACAAAAATAGAAACCTGAAAATGATGGGAGGGGGTGGGGTTAAATAAATCATCAACTCAGCATAAACTGGCTGTAAGATGTGGGCAACGCTTGGGACGCTTCACCCAAATCAAACTGGTTTGCATTAAACAGGCCGTTTGTGTGCACAGCTCCATATAAATGGGAACCTGTAATTACTGGAATTAAAAAGAAGGACTAAGCTGAGAGCTAAGTTGGATGGGATAATTTGAGAGTCTGTGGTATGTAGCCCATATTAGGGTTGTCTAAAAATATCCCCCCCACCACCCCATGTATTGGAATGTTCTAAAAGACCACAGAATGATCCAGTAAGTCATCCTGACCACTGGACCACCACACAGTGGGGCTGATGCTGTCTCCCCAGTAAACTGTACTCAGTCTAAAGTCACCCCTTAGGAGCATGGTGTTCTGCCAACAGCCCCCCCCCCCCCGCTCTGAAGCTTACTTTCACCTTCTTTTTTTTCTAATGGGGAAGGAAGGCGGGTTTCAGTAGCTCTGGCAAATCAGGATTGATATTTTTCCTGTTTCATAAAAGCAGATATTCTGTTGGTTTGTGAAATTTGTTTTTAAAGTATTTAGGCCCCCACTGTGAATACTCTTAAATAAAGGCATTTTCCAAATTGACACATGATTCTGATTTTGAGGGTGGTCAAATTCCAGACAATGTTTTGTTTGACAAGACGAAAAGGATGAGGCCTAACTAGGCCTGACCACGGGCCTCAGCTTCTAGTGAAAAGTTGGGGGAAACAGTAAAAAGCACGAGGGAGGAGGGGTTTGCTGGCTACCTTCCTTGTCTCGAGGGCCGGTGCAATCGGCAGTAATTGAGATTGATTGGATGTTATTTTTCCTCTTGCAAATGTAGTCCATTAGCTTGGCACATGCATAATCAGTTTAGAGCGCAGTTAGCCGAATGTAATCATGTTCCTTGGTGTCTGCGAGCACAAAATCCACTCCAGATGCAGGTCGACCATGGAAAGATGGGGAGAAAGTGCCGTCACTATCAAACAAGGAATCTTAAGCTAAAAACGTTCTGACATCCCTTCCTGTGCCCTGGTCCTGCTTTATTGAGCACACCCAACTGTAAAATATTTTCATCTTCCCTTGTTTGTCATTGACACCCAGTCACATCCACTGCTGGTTCTTTACAAAATGAAGCATTGCTTTGATCCCATTTTCTGTCCATAGGCAATCATTCAGGAAAGAGTCAGCTGTTCTTGTGTTACTTTTTAACTCGGTCCGAAAGAACAAGAATTAAAAAAATGTCTATGCTATGCAGAGAACAAACAATCACAACACATCACATGATTGGAGAAAAGAGGCCACAACATCAAAGACGGGGTTAGTGGTTACATGAAAATACAATTAGGTGTTCACTGATGATCTTACTCAGCAGAAGTTCTGGCTTCTCAGACTCTGGAATGCAAGCCATGACCTCTCTCCATTAATGATCAAAAGTAACAAGAGTCACTCTCAATTATCTTGGGCTGTTGTGCTAAATGTAGTTAGCAAACTATCACAAATGGATCTTGGTTGAAATCCAAATTCTTTGTGACCAAAAAAGTTGAAGTGTATTTTGGATGCCTTCCAATCAAGCTGCTCTGTCAGGCAAACACCTGTTGGGTAACATATGGCTCATCATTGGATTTTCACATTTTTCAACTATTTTTGTTTTGTTTTGTCTTGTTTGGAATTTCATATTTAACTTATCCAAATGTCCTAACTTTCAGGCCTAAAATAGTTTCCTCTTATGTTGCAATGCTGACTCAAACGTTAACAAACTGTCAACATGTTTAAGAAAAATATGATAGGTAATGTGGCTTGTCCTCTAAGTGATGTCAAGTGGGGGACTTGTCTCCCTCAAACGGCAAACATTTCTAAGAAGAGGAGGGATAGAAAAAAGATGGAGCGATAGAGAGGAAAAGAGGTTGGAGGGTGCAGGAGAGTTGAATGGATAGATACTCTGCTAATTATCATGGCTAGCCTATGATTGTTCAGTAATAGCGCTCAGTGGGAAAGGTTGTAGCAGTTCCAGGAAGAGCAGAGCTCTGATTTACTGGTACTACTGCTCTAATAAAGCGTAAGCTGCACATCCTGGGAGACAGCCTATCCTCTCCCCTCACATACACAAGCGTGAGAATGCACACAGAGATGGACAAGCGGACGCTCACAGTAATCATGTAATCTAAAATGCCACAAGACTCACAAAATGTATCATTTTAAGGTCTTGATTCAGTATACCTGTAACGCCTCCACAGTCCTCACTGCTATGATTCAGAAGCCTGGTTGCCATCTTTGTGTTAGTGGTTACCTTCAGGTTTGAACTATAACTTCAATCATTAAATGAGTCTGGGTAAGTTAGTCATGGATGGAAAAAGAAATGATTGACATACATCTTTAAAAAAAATCAGAAGCAAATGCATCATTTGAATGAAGGGGTCTAGTAGGGTTGTGTGCAAGAATTTCTCAACTATTCAAGCTCCTGCCCCTCATTAGGTCTGGCTTTCACCTACGACACAGCTGTTGCTGCTGCTGGTGCTGACCATATGTGCAAAGACCCCACTCTGTGTTTTAATGGGACAAATAAAGGTCCAATGAATGAAAGCAAAAAAAA